AATATTTGGATGTGATGATCCCACTTACTGTCTGTGACAGGACCCAGGAGGCTACAAATACCTCACTGTGCTGTACTGCAATGAAAGGGTCGGATTTGAGTGTTTGTCACTTTCCATGCATATATTTTTTAATTGGCCTTCTGGTTGACTATTACCACTTTCTGTCCTGCAGCTGCATATGGTGTACAATACGGTGTGGTGGGCACAATTTTACTTTCCAGAGAAATCCTTCTTTTTTTATCAAAGATTATTTCTATAAGCCTATAAGGCAAGACAAGGACAGTTTATTTGTATAGTTCAATTTGGTACAAGAGAATTCAAAGTGTGACATGAACTCAATAAAAATGGGTAGTAAAACAAATAAAACAGTTGGACCACAACCTTAAACTAATAACACCTACTGTAAGTTAAGTTTTACTTCAACAGTCAAAGGAAGTTTTAATAATTGTTTTTTGACTTTTTTTTTTTCTAGTCTTATGGGAATTTGTTCCAGGTAATTGGAGCATAGGAACTAAATGCTACTTCTAAATCCATACGTATATAACCCTTAATCCATATATTTAGAAAATATTAATTCTGCACACTAAGAAATTAAAATTAATTAAAAATAGATGCAAGTCAGGTCTTTATATTTAGCATGCTTCAAAATACTACCTTATCAATGTATTTAGGCTAGGTCAGGATTTTTAGCTTTATTTGTCAGAGAAGGGAAAGAGCTACAAAATAAGTATTTTTATTTAAGGTGGAAAAGAAAAGGGATATATGGCAGCAATACTTAGAGAAACTCAGTAAGAATAGATCAGAAGTTATTATAGTAACCCTAACAGATTAACGGTTTAAATGTTGACTCTCAAATTTGAAAAAGCATAGCAGTCGTTACAGCGTTTATATCAGTGGTTAAGTTACTCGAATAAATCTACAAGTCAGGATAAAACAAGAGTCCTTTTTTTTATTTTATTTTTTTTAGTGGTGGGCATAGATTCATTGTTTTGATCTAGATTCATCTCACTGTAATCTTGAAATTAATCTAGATTAAAATTGTTCATTTGAATTCTGCCAAAGGCATTCATATGTGTGTGCTACCTCCAGAATATTGCATATCAGGTTTACTTTTTTTATGTTTGCAAATTCACACGTAATTTCATCATCTTACTTAAGACTTTGACAAAGTTCATTTTTTTGGCTCATTTGTTACTGTGTTTTTGCTGCAAAAATAGTGTCCCACTTCTAATTATAGATGTCCCACTTTAATAATATACTGTGGTGTCTCCAAAAAAGAGACTTTGGGGCAACAATGTTTGAAGATAAAACTAAAATCTGTGTTTAGAATGTCTCTTATGATGTGAAGTTCCCGAGGTTTTGAATGCACCACGACTCTAGAGCTAGCAATGAAATGGGCTAAACAAATACCACTGAAGCTACATTTTCAAAAAGCGTCCCACGTTACCCATATTAATCAAAGAAATCATCAAGAAACACACATAATGTTGCGGTAATTATTCGTGGTGTCGTGGTAAAATGATATTTGAAATTGCATAACATCACCTACCTTAAGCAAAGGAGTGAAGTTCCCAGTTGGTTATCGTTATTCACAGATGTCCTGTGGTCAACTGTCAGTGCTGAACAGTCAACTCTACCAGATTCTTATCTTTTGTGGCTTTCTCCGTGGAGTGCTGGTAATGAATTCTTCTCATGATAGTTCACGCTGCAGGTAGTTTGTAAGATGGGTCACCTGTTGCCGCCTGGAGAACAAGCTCGAGCCCATCAGCCACTCTGGCTACGTTCACACTGCAGGCCTTGATGCTCAATTCTGATTTTTTTTGTGAAATATGTTTTGTTTTTTTTTGCGTTGCCGTTCATATTTCCAACTATATGCGACTTGTATGTGATCTCCTGTGTGAACTGCAGTCATACAACACAAGTGTCCTGCATGCGCAGTAGAGGACGCAATGATGTCACAGGTCAGCATGCTCTATGTTTAGGGAACTAAGCATGGATGGTAGTACTGCCCCGTATCTAGCGGTCTTTTCCAACCATAAAAAATCTTTTCAATATAGTTAAACATAAATACTGCTCTCCGCATCATAATCTGCCATGGTTGTTGCTTTTCATGCCACTTCTGCGTAGCAAGATGCAGAATAAGGACCTTTGTTGGGTATTAATGACGTTCAGGTCGGATTCATCCAACCTGGCCGTTCAGACACAGGTCGCATTTGAAAAGATCAGATTCATATCGGATTCAGGACCACAGAGCCAAGCGGCCTGGGTTGGATTGGAAAAAATCTGATCTGTGTTGTTCAGACAGCCATGAAAAGATCATATCCAGGTCGCTTGAGGCTTGTGGCTATCTACTGGGTGAGGAGATTGGTTAGCTTGCCTGATAGAGCTCTGCTAATGGGCTTGCCTCAGTTACACTCAAACATTATAGTTTTATTAAAACAACTCCTGCACTACATCAGTGTTTGCCCCACCATCTTTCGTATTGGTTAAGGGATGTATTTGCGTTTAGGTGTTACTTGAGACTGGAAGGATTCCTGCAGTAAACTAATTCTACATTGCACGAGGTGCAAACAGCTTGAGTCTTGTTGAGATTTCCATTGGGAAGTTTCTTAAAATTAAAATTTTCCCTGAAGCAAACCCAGCGGCTTTATAGCTGCATTGTTGTCAGCACGTCACATTCGATGTGGTAATTTCACAGTAGGCCTACACAGGTTGGAAGACTGATTCGTTCACGCCCCCACATACACATCCGCACTAAAATATTAAGGTGAAAGTCATCATTAGTATAGACCCAGCTCCCAACCCAACTGTGAGAATAGATAAATGGCAATAGTTTTTTAATCACCCAATATGTGCTGCGCTCACGCCAACTTGAACTGAAACAGAGGCGGTTTTAAAAGGATTCATCTTTTTTTACCCTGAGCTCTATATGATAGCTATGAATGTATGCAGTTTTCTTTAGAGGACCAGCAATTACAATAATAGAAAAATAGGTTAATCAGTTTTACTGATCCACCCAAAACATAGAGGGGCATTGAGATGTCTAAATAGAGGATACCTTCTGGCTCCAAAAGTAAAGGGAGGGCTTATATTTTTAGGAGAAAATTCTAGGATTACTGTGATGATTTTTGTCTCTCTTTTCTTTTGTGATCAGTTAATCATGTACATGTCTCCTTTTTCAGAAGTGGATACCGTTACTGAAACAGAGTTTTGTTTGGCAGTTTGTTCTTACTGCAAAGATGATGAGAGTGAGATGAAATCTTCGACCTTCGTCAATCTTTCACAAAGCTCCCTCTTGTTATTCAGACTAGAGATGAGGAAGCGTATGGCAGGCAGAAAATGAAGATCTGTTTTCCAAACTCCTCATCTTCTTCAGTAGATAATCTTTTTCTTCCAACTTGTGTTTGACAGCTCTAACAATCTCCCTCTGCGTCAAACTTTGCATGAATTCCTTTGTTTTTACAAAGACTTCTGGGAGTTAAAAGCAGATGCAGATCCGTTTAAGGTTTCTTTTTATTTTTGCATGGAAACCTCTAGTCCCTCCCTCGGTTCTGGGTTTGTGCATATCAGGAGTACGTGTTTTCCTCTTTTTTAGGCTTATATGGGATCATGAAGGAGTATGAACTCAGGATCCATTAACAGAGTTGGGGGTTTAGATTTTCTGTGTAACATGAAAGAAGGCAGAGAGGGAATAAAGTCAGCTCAGACCACTTTGCTCTTTTCCTATGTGGAAGCAAAACAATCTTCAATGCATTTTCTGAACAATATAAGCACCTGGTTGTACAATAGTATTTAAATTTTATCGGTGAAGTGTCACAATCTAATCTCTTTCAGTTTAATTTTATTTTTTATTTTTAGGTTTTTTTTAAGGTCTAATAAAGGACTTTAAACCATTAGTCTTACCTTTTGACTTCCACCCCCCACTACGCTTTCCTCCTGTGACTGAAATATTAAACTGAACTGGAAAAGATTTAAACCAAAATTGAGAGGAAAGCTGGTCAGGAGTCAGGACAGAAACAAAGAGATTTGTTCAGGAACTTAAAATAGCTTCCTAATTTGTTTGTTCCTCTGTGGAGTTGGAGTTTATCCAAATTCCCGCTGAGACTGTTTTGTCACTCAGTCTCTATTTAATCCAGGAGATGCATGTTAATATTCCAAAGTCATGTAATCAGAAAAAAAGTAAGAACGAACCCAAAACAAAATGCTGAGTACTGGATTGCTGATGTTAAATTTGTTAACACCAATTTGAGGATGTAAATGTTACATCGTCCCTTTATAAAATTAGTTTTGTTGCTAAAACTCATCTTATATTAAGCTGTAAAATCCTGCACAAAGTTATAATACATACAAATATTTAAATAAGCGAAAAAAAAACTGTATCGCACGCAACTGAGACTAGATGACTTGGACTAACTTTATTGTCATCTTGTATACACAGAGTTTGTACAAAACAAAATTTCAATTCATTCAGCTTTTCTACAGCGAATGAGCAGCTTACAACAGTGAAATGGACATTTCCATTTATAAAGTGCAGCAGTGATCAGAATGTAAACAGTGTAGGAGAAAAGGAAAACCAGTTTAAAGTCATGGTGCAAAAGGCATTAATATGGAAAGGTTCAGTGCCATACAAATAAATAAATATGGTGCAAAATGCAGTAGAACATTGCATTTTCTGATATTTATATTCTTAATTAAAAATAAATCCTGAAATGTGTCCGTTTTTCACTAAGTGTCAAACTTTACTGATTTATGTCCATTAGGGTGACTTACATAGATTCCCATACCTTTTCGACTTGCATCAGACATTTCTTGTATCCTTCAACAGACTTCTCATAATACCTTGCTGCAATTTTGGCCCACTGTTGTTTGTACTGTATGTATGTATGCTGAACAGAGATGTTTACCTTGTATTACTACATAACACACAGATAAACTCTGTTTCTTAAACAAAGTGCAGACATGTTTTGCTGACCTTCTCCCTCTCTTCTCTGTTTTTGCAGGAAAAGTGTTGAACACAGACCTGCGCCACTACCTCAGTCTGCAGTTTCAGAAGGGCTCTCTCGACCACAAACTCCAGCAGATCATACGAGACAACCTCTACCTACGCACCATACCCTGTAAGTGCTTTGAATAACCTCCTTTTTAATGCTTTTTAAACTTAGCCAGCCCAGGCATGTGTTTCCTCACCCATTTTTCAGTCCACATATGCTTTAATGGGAACTACCTCTTGGAACAAAATCAGATGCTGCAGAAATCCATTATGCAATAACTTGCTTGCTTTCCATTAAACAGGTTCTGCACTCACACAAATCAAGGTCACTGAGACACATATGCTACTCCTGCATTGTCTTCCACAGCACTTTGTCGGGCAGACTAAAAAGCAACCATTTTACTGTCACTATGGCAACGCAGCCAAGGATATCACTTGAACCCCCATGTAACTTATTTACTTCCGTATGGTATCATCAAAGTGATCAAAGTCATACTCCATCCATAAATAACACAGTTTTTTTTTTTACCACTCCAGTTGTAATTTTCTCTGTAGTCTGTGAGGTCATCACTATCAATTCCCTGAAATCAATAATGAGGCGGCTGAATAAGGTTGAAATTGAAAGCCAACAGAACTGCCACAAATAATGTCAACTGTGTTGCTGATAGCAATTTATGCTTAATGAAAATATGTCTGGCTGTTTCCATTTTCTATAAGTGTTAAACAACCATGGGGTTCCGATATGTTGAAGATGAAAACTTTCCTTTTATTTTTGCAGAGATGGAAATACTGCATGATGACAATGTTTGGATGGAGTGAAAATGTATACATCTCTTTTTCACAGTGAGAAGAATGTTATTGATAAAACGCCATGGATGAAAAAAGCTATTTCTTTAATCAGTAGAACTGATAAAATTGTTTTTCCTTAGCTTTAGCATTTCAGTCCTTAAAAGGAAAATCATTGATGTTGTGGAAAAGATAAGGATGCAGCAAAAAGTGTAAAGAGGATACCCAGATTTAATTCAGATCTAAAATGGTAGTAATATTTTTTATATTTTATGATAAACAAAACCAGAATTCACTGTTAATATTACAGTTTGATTGATTGATTGACTTTATTGATCTCACAGTCAATAGCGTAACGACACAACAATAGGCCCATAAGCAATATTATCTGAGTGGGCCCCATATGAAGTATGATGTATGGTCCATAATTGTGTAGGGGGCCAACCAGGTGTCAGTGACCCCTAACAGGTCGGGGCCCCTAAGCAATTGCAGTCTCTGCTTACCGATAGTTACGCCATTGCTCACAGTCGGGAAATTGACTCGTTACATCAGCTCAAATTGTCAAAGAGAAGGAGAAGGTGCCAAAGGAAGAAAAAGTGCATGGGGATATATACAGCATATACGGTGTGTCCACACACACACACACACTCATATATATACATATAGATAGATAGATAGATAGATAGATAGATAGATAGATAGATAGATAGATAGATAGATAGATAGATAGATAGATAGATAGATAGATAGATAGATAGATAGATAGATTAAAAAACAGGTTATTGCACTATTTATTTCCAACAGAGAAGTAAATAAAGAGTAGAATCTACTTCTGTTCCCAAAACAGATAAATGATTGTCCCTACAGTAGATTGTAATGATTTTGATCCAGATTAGATTACACATGGGGATTATTACATGCTTTTCATATACACAGATATCCCTGAAGTATTGTCTATTCCCCACAAACTGGATTGCCTAGGTTTTAGGGAATTTGGCCCCACATTTTTATACAGCACTGTCTCTGATATATGTGATAGTGTGAGATTTTTTTTACAAAATGAAATGTTTACTTTACATTTTAATTTATAATCCCTCTCTTCTTATTCTTAAGTTATTGTTCTTTCTTTTAAACACCATTCACAGTCTTTCTTTTTCTTTCTTCCTCTCACTGCCTTTCTGTCAAATCCCTGTTTGACTCCTGTATCTTTACATACCTGTTAGCTGTGCTCTGACACGTGTTTTTTTTCCTGAGCTGTTGGCTTTAAACTGAATAGTTATTTGATTTTTCCTCTTAGAGCTCAGTTGCAAGGGGAGTTTTTTGGGTCAGCTACAGCGTTTGGACACAACATGATTACAGAGGGATTTCTCTGCCGCTGCTGCCTGTCATTTTCACCTCCTCTATGGTTTAAACACACCTGCACACATTGCCTTCTGTTGCTCACATATCTGCTACTTATAACAGCTTTGCATTTTGGCTGTAGCCTATAACCACAATTCATCAGCAGCGTCAGTGGGCTAGCTGCATGAGTCTGGCTCTCTAATCCCCTGCTTGAATTACTGTCTTAATGAGCAAGAGACGAGGACTGGCACAGTGACGGCACCTCCATCATTCTGCTTCTCACTTTCCTTCTCCCATCCTTCAACCTATCTGTTTCACTTTGGCTATCTCTCTCTCTGTTCATTCCACCTCAGTCATATTTTCAGCTGTATTTGTGCATTATGAATTGAATATAAAGACAAAAATTCAAATAATGTTTAAAGGAGACAAAAACACCTGAAACCAGAATGTCAACAGATGTAAGTATTCAATGTAGAGACTATTCCACATTCTTAAGTTATTATTTTCTAAAAATAACCCCATCGGCAACTTGAACTTGAATGCTTATGACAGTTACACAAACATAGTATTCAGCTGTTTATGTTGTCATTATGAATAGAAATAATTCTCAGATTTATTGGGTTGTATGTAATATGCACATGAAATTATTTGATCTGCTGCTATAATTTATTAAATCTATATGTATATATAGAGTATATATATATATATATATATATATATATATATATATATATATATATATATATATATATATATATATATATATATATATATATATATATATATTTTTTTTTTTTTTTTATTTAAGTAGAAATTGAAAAGCTAAGAGTAAAAGTGAACCATTCTGTGGTCATATGAGTTGAGAATAGGAAAGTTGCCTTCAGGCGCTGCTAATTAGGTTCACTTGATAAACTGATTACCAGCAGGCCTGCCCACTTTTTAAAATGAGTTTTTTTGTGCAGTTCTTAACCTCTGGTGTTTACCGATCTGTTTAAAATAACACAAAGCCAGAAAGAAATAAAGGATCATGGGCTGCGAATATAACTGGGATTTCCAAACAACCAGAATTTTATCATTCTATAATTGGGAGATTGTTTTTACAGTTTGAAAGCATTTTCCAATCTCCCCCCTGAGTGGACATCCTAAAGATTCACCCCAACATCAGATCTGCTGTGGTCAGAGACGCTACAAAACAGACAGCTGTTCCCTCTCAGACTCTATAGGCTGCGGTTAAGACATTAAATATTCATTGCAGCAGAAATGGATAAAGGCTGAATAAGAGATACCTGTTTGAAAAGGATGTCAGGAGAATACCTCTGATACCTAAAACTAATGATCCAGATAAGAGTGATTCGTTATTTATAAAGAATTCCCATAGTTCTTTGGACAGACCTGGTCAACTTTTAGCCCTAATATAAAGCATGTTTCAATTCAGTGTATTTATATAGCGCCAATTCACAACATATGTCATTTCAAGGCACTTTACAGAGACAATCCAACCAGATCATACAGTCAGATTGATTAAAAGTTTTCTAAGGAAAACCAGCTGATTGCATCGACTCATTGACTCGCAGGTAATTACACCGAGCATGCTTGTAGCGACAGTGGAGAGAAAAACCTCCCTTTTAACTGGAGGAAACCTTTAGCAGAATGAGGCTCAGTGTGAGCTGCCATCTGCCGAGGCAGTTCAAGGAGACAGAAGACGTACAGAAGGGATCAGAGATACAAAAAGCAACTATAAATAAGCTCTGCAGGCATGATATTGGGGGGATAATCTTGCTGTGTATTATAAGAGTGATCGGGTCTCATCGGAAAAACATCAAATCTGGGAAATCCAGCAATTTGGTTTCTCTTGGCTCGATATCCTATCGTGTGTGGTGTCCTCCAGAGGACAACCAAGCTAACAACATCTTAGACTATTCATTTATATACTCCCCATTATGAGCTGTCCCAGTGAGTCCTGTCTCTACATACACCCACAGAGCTGAGAACCAAGACCCGACCCATTTAGACAGCAGTTATCACCATTTCAAAAGCCTCCTGGACTTGTGAGTCCTTTAAGAAAACCCAAAAAGAACCCAACTCGCCCCCAAATAAAAGTGTTCCAAGTGATATTCCTGTTAATGCTGTCTGCACTCCATTACCCAATACCTTTCCCTGTTATTCCTTATTTTCTCTGATAAAATATGCCCACTCACTAACTGTAGTTGCATCTGCTTCATCCGCTATGTGTGTTTAATGCAAAGTCATGCTTGATCTGGAGGGGTTTGGCAAGATTTCCCCTCTGACAGCTAAATATCCTGAATCAAAATGGCCCGTCTTTGATGTCCTTGTAGTGTGGTTGGAGACAACACAATGTACTACCAAACTAGTTTTTTAGAAAATCACCCAACAATTTTAAAAACTTGCAGCGTTAAACAGCCTTTAGTATGAACCAATCATTGTTTATTGATGAGTTACATGTGTTGTTGGTAATTTTCTTCTTTTAAATTCTGATATAAAAAACTAAGCTATGTGTATGACAGCTACTGTATAACTGGACCTAAATGAGTTCATCAACTTGAGGTTGAGCCGTAAGTGAATAAGTAATGTTTATTTATATAGCACCTTTCACAGACATAGAGTTCACAAAAGGCTTCACAAAATTATAATACAAATAAAAATAAATTTACATTAACAGTCGCAAAAGACATGGTCATAAAAATATACAAGCTGGTCTAAAACAAAAGGATTTCTTAAAGGAAAAAAAAAGAAAAAGGGACAAAAAGAAATGAGATGCTGCAAGGGCCTAGTCAAAGTTTAAACCCCAACACAAATGAAACGTGTTATAGAATCTTATGAGCATAAAAAATGTCTACCAAATTAGGTGCTCCACTTCATTGAGATTTGAGAGACTTGGAGAGACTGAGAACGTTTTGACTTTTTAAGTTATTATGGCTGAAGGTGTTTCTGCATGTCCTCAAATTTTAAAGTGTCTTTATTTTTTCTCAGGTTTTTGAT